ATACGGATACGGGATCAAACGTTGGACTTGGAAGTTAGACCCCTTCCTTTTGGCTCAATGATGTCTTACCTCTTACAAGTCACATCTTACCTCCATGTTTGCGCCCATCATCTTCGGAGTTTTTGCAAAAAGCGGTCATACGATCCCTCTTATAAGTCTTATCAATTCTTGAAATCGAATCAAATTCATCATGTCGGGTGCAAGGGCTTCTTGGGTTTCTTTTTCCATGCGAAGTCGCATTGAATCCTTGCATGAAGGCTATGTGCATCCTACCCACTGTTGGAAAGGAATCACAACAAGGTTTGAGGGCAATTGCTATAAGTCCCTGACTGCTCCTCGTTCTTCTTATCTTTCCTAGGGCCGACCGCTCTCTATGAAAGTTACGATTTAGGTTCTTGCCTTAGGATTGTTCGGTTCAATAATGACCGTTATGAGGCATTGAACTGTTCATGCAGCTGCGACCAATCACACGCAACAACGAATTATGGCGAAGGATCCCAAAACCAATAACGATGTCTGATTGGCTCCATGCCATTTTTACAATGGTCTTATGGATTGAAGACGAACCTGCCTCGGCGTGTCAAGCAGATTAATTGAGAGAAATAGTACAATGCCCCCGGAATCGCCCTATCTCATGTCCCTCCTCGTGACTTGAGAATGCCAAGGCTTGGAATACGTTCCTTTCAATTGTATTTTTGGCAAGCGATGGAAGCTATCGGTGAATTGGCCGGTGTGTTGTATTGATGAAGAGTGAGGTAGAGGTAGGTAACAAATTTCTGGTAGGATAGGTAAGTTGATTGGAGTGCTCTAGTTTTTCGCCGTGATCCGATCATTACCACCCTTCTCGAAACCTTCATTTGATTGTACAACCAACAACCTCTCCTATTGAATCATAACTATTTTGCGGAAATTTATTGTTATTATCAAGAATTGACTCTGTCTCCATATTATTACTCCAAATTCACTTCATTTTCATCCAATCCTCCAAAAAAGGTAAGTTCATCATCCCCTTCATTCATTTGCCAATGACTCTCGAAGACTAACATCGCTGCCTAGTTACCTCGATCAAAATGTCGAGCTCCTTCCAAACTTCGGTGACTGATCTCACAGGCATCAACATGGCGTCGAACACTTCCGATGAATGGGAGTTTCAAGGCAAAATAATTACGACAAAGCAATACTTGGATGACTTTGATGCGGACCTTACTGCTGGCTTGGCCGAGCATGGCTCCACGAGCCCCGACTATGCGACCATAAAAAACGGCCAATACAACAAACCGGCAAATGCATCTCCACGGCCATCTTCCTTTGACCATCATTCATCTGACAGTATATGTGTCGCAAGCTCGTATGCAGATACGGAGGCTTCCATGAGACCCAATTATATCGCTCCCTCCGACGAGTGGATGTCTCAATATTTGACATACATCACAACGCCGACAACCTCCATCGATGAGAACGGTGACGGCAATGTCTCGAGCCAAAATGACTCGGTTCAGCAGCATCCACAATATGCCTACTCCGAGTTTCCAACCTACATCAGCGGCCCGACACCGCTCGATTTTTGGTACGACAACCCCGAGCGACACGAGGAAATTGCGTACAGTTTGTCAGATCCCATGGTTGATCCGATTGCACCAAAGAAGATCAAGAAATCGGCCGACAAGAAGGTTCAAAAAAGGAAGTGATAAGTCATCTAGATAAGATGAAAGAAAAGAAACGATGGCATTTGAGTTGCGGATTAATTTTGTTTATGATTGATTGATTGGATGTTTATTCAGGAGAACTGCCGGCGTGATGATGTTGATATGAATACAAATGCCATGATGAGATAGGCACTTGAGACTGCAGGCAGTTTTTGTTTAAAAGCGGAAGCAGGGTGTTATTTTATCACCTACTGCGGCCTTTACTCTTCATTTCAAAGGATGCACTTGAGAGTGCTTATTCAGTTAGCAGTTCTTTTTACTACTATGTTTGGGTTACAAATTCAATAACTTTGCCATCGTAATTTATCTTTGTCGTCTGAAAATGCATGTTGTGCCATCTTTGCCGCTAGAGTCTGAGCTTGGAGCTTGGATCTCCATCTTTTCGCGTTCTTCCCGCCGCTACCGTCTGAACTCTAATATCCACGCATAATGATGCTTCTAAGGAAGAAGCGATTCCCACATTTCTTATCCCTTGTAATTGGACCATTGGTTTGGTTTTATACCGGTAGCCTTTCTCGGTTTGTGTTTTCCGTTTTCTTCTTCCTTTATCGTTAATTATATTTATCACGATCGCTCTTTGGGGCCCACGGTAGATCAGGGCTCATCGTCCCCATAATTTTATATTGAATGATGTGCAATACGCACCATCCTCGAGACTGCAGATTCTGCAGGTGGTCCCGAATAGTTCATTGGTCAAATAATATCTCCAGCGCAGGTTACACTTGTTGACATTGACATCTAATATGTTCGTTAAAAAGATCAAGAGCTGACGTCCTTATTTTTGGCGTCAATGGTTGGCAAAACCGTATTGTGATGGCGTATGCCAAATGAGGCGAGCTGGGGAGGCGCCGTCCAGTCTTCTACCGTACCGCCTAAAATCTGACAAGTTGATAACCCTTGAACATCGTCAATTCAACAACTTCAATTGAACTACATTCAAAAAAGAATGATGCATTTTTTTTTTACAATCAATAGAATATGGCTTCTCAACAATATTGCCCTCAAGCTCGAATTATATATAGAAGAGAAATCTCGTTCTTTTTACGTCGTTCTTTCGTATACATGGAGCGTGGAGCGAGGACGAGGTCTTATTTCAAGAGATTCAATAACTCACCGATGAGATACGAGCTCCAAAAGGGTTCACGAAAATCATACAATTCTGTGAACAAGCAACATTTGATGGGTTTGAATATGTAGGTATGGATAGACACATGTTCCATAGATAAAATCAATAGCGTCGACCTTTCGGATGCCATAGACTCCATGTAATTACAGATGGTACAAAAAATGCGGTGGAGTGTTATGTGCATCTCGCAGATGTCAACGCCCCAATTGCGGACGACCTTGGCATATCACAAGCATTTGAGATAGCCAAAATTTCAGATCTCATATACGATGAAAGTTTTAGAGCGGATTGTGTTATTCGATAAGTTGTTGGTAAGACGCAGATCAACTTAGATTTCAGGAAAATACTTCATTGGGGAGCCCCTAGGTATGTGGCAGATATATCCAGTTGGTATCTTATGGAGCATCCTTGAAAACCGCATTTCATCAACTAGTAGTATCTCATTCCTTTTCCAAATAAACCGATTTTATATAAAACCGAAACCCATTAATGTCGTTCATGTTGAATGAATCAACATTACTAATTATCTATAACGTAGATCAGCAATCTGGTTAAGGCGAAACCCCAATATCAAACATACATACATACATACACTTTTTGAGTAATGAGCGGAGGAAGCATCATGCCATCTACGAGACTCACATGTTAGCATCATATTCGTCTACAGTATACCTACCCAAAGATTCCCTACTATCAATACTAGTATCCTTCCCATCATCCTCCATCTGTCTCGTTTTCACCCTCTCAACTCCAAACCAAACCAAACCAATCCGCCACCACCAAATTTCCCCCGAGATCCAAATCCCTCGATACATCCCTAAAAAAAACTTTTTTTAATCGCGAAGATGACTTGTTGCAATTTGCATCTGAAATCAATCTACAGTCAAATTTCATAGCATTGCTATAGTCATTCGCTGATAAAAAAACTCCTCGATCACATCCGCGTCCAGAATCATGAACTTCTTCTTCCCCTTTACTTTCTCCAATCTCATATATCCATCGTCATCCTCACCCCCATTTTCCGCCTTCTTCAAGCTCGCCTTCCTCGTAATCTCAATCTCTGCCTCGCTCAACCTAATCCCCAATCCCCGCTACGTACCACCGAGACTACAACCTACAGATGGGACTTCACTTCCGGTACGAGGTTTGAGTTTTGGAGAAGGGGGAGTTGTTTCTTTTTTATTGGTGGGAGTGGGTGTGGGAGTGGTAGGAGCGAGGAAGTACGAGAGCTATGATGAGGTGTTCACCCCTGGGGCTGTGAGCTTGAGGTTTTTGGGAGAGGGGGGCGGGAGGGGGGTAGGAGGATTGTTTGTGGGAAGGGATGCATAGAGAGAGGGGGGAGAGGGGAGAGGAGGGAAAAGGAAAAGTAATGTGATTAGCCAGAGAGAATAATGGTGTTTGGAACACACATCATAATGAAATATAATACTTTTCTTTCCTTCAACAATTTTGATTTTTCTTTGCTGAATTTCTTACATCTGTTCCTCTATATCCATTTCGACCTACCGGTATTTTAACCTCCATCTTAACTTTCCTCATAGTAATCTATCAGTTTATTCCTCTTCAAGTACAGATGTACAGCACAAGAATAATAATCCAACAACTTATTGTAATTTAAATCGGATGCTTCTCAAGGACCACAGGTGTATCAAATCAAGACTGGAAAATTGTTTGAGACGCTCCGTTCCATTCCGTTCCTTGGCTCGGTGTTTGATCTTATGTGAAATGCAAATCACTTATTACTTTGGAATATTCAATTCGACTTCAACGACTTGACAAGACACCTATATAACTACACAGATAAAAGTTCCGCACCCAGAACCATCAGGATTCCTCAAACTTCCTCTCGTCCCCCCGCCCAAAGATTCCCAATATCCACCGATCCGATTTCACCCGCACGAATCACCTGTCCTCAAGACCCACCTCCACCCCACCATTCCTCCACTTCCCGCTCCTCCGCCCATTCCTAGAACCCTAGCCCTAACTCATGACTCGTGACTCGTGACTCGCTACAGCGATCCCCCTGTACACCCCCACCCGCAACTCTCTCCACCCGGAAATGATCTTCCCATCTAATATCCACAACCTCCACTACTTTCACATACCCTCTTTGCAAATAACAATATAATGCAAATTAGTTCACCCTCTTTCATCAAATAACCATAACAGGTCGCTTAGCTCAGTTGGTTAGAGCGTGGTGCTAATATCTCCCCTTCTATTCATTCGAATATAAGATGATTAACAACGCCAAGGTCGGCGGTTCGACCCCGCCAGTGATCAGTTTCTTTTTGCCCTTCTTTTGCATCTAGAATCATTCGGGAATGGTTGAGATATCGAAAGTTGAAGTTTTTGCAAATTATCGGGGTTGATCACGTGATTAAAAATTTGGTGGCAGTTTTTTGTTTTTTTGGGTGGGGCTACATTGAATGAATGATGATAGGTTGCCGGAGACTAGGATACCGGTATATAGCTCCGGCATATCCAAAGTAGCATGGCAGTTAGCAGCACGACTTTGAGCTGTGTTGAAATCATGCAGCTGACCAAGCCATTCATTATTGATACCAAAATGGCTTTTTGAGATAATACGAGTTTTGTCATGCTAGAGCGAGTTCTTGCACCGCTCACATCTGTTGAACTATCACCAACTGCTTAACCTCACACAAGTACTCCCGCCATAGGTTAATGACCCCATTTTCAACCATCCAATTTTTTTTATATACACATCCATCAACTGGAGAGACACGCAGGTTCATCGTTGAGAGATTAGTGGAACTACTACATCGATGATGATGTGCATTTTCTCCTTCAATCTGCATTCCTAAATCACGCCTTCTCAAGTTTGACACGTGCAGGAAATAACACGTGATTAATCTTAATATTCTTGACCTTTTTTGGCGTCTCAGTCTGTTACCTCTCTAGAAGTTGGTACGCCAAAGCAACGAATCATCCTTATGCTCGAGTTGGGTTGGGGCTGGCTTCAAAAGGATGCTATCTGCCGGCCTCTTACAGTACTGTTCTTGGGCGACAGAAACCCCAATATGTAGACCGTGCTTGCTGTTCTCCCATCAATGGCAATCTTCTTGGTAAGAAAAGCACGGGAAGTTTTGCCTCATACTCAGGATTATACTGCAATTGAAGTCGGGATTCCTAAAGATGTTGTTAGGGCCATAGAGACAAAATATGTCTAACTATACGCACATCTCTTACTGCCAGCTGATAAGTATATATGTATTCTTTGAAATCATATTTTCTCTCTGGGCCTTTGAATTGGGCGTGGAAAAGTTTTCAATCCTCTCAAATTGTTGGCATGGATAAAACTTTTGGTCATGTTGTGCCAAGTTCTGAGCATGAATCATCTTTCATTCTTCATCGTGAAATATCTCTCCTTCACTGTTTCACAATTTCTTTCCTTTCTTTCTTTACTTGAATTTATAGTCAGTCCAACATCTCAAGTAACCATGTCTTTCTACGTATGTAAAATATCCGGAAGTTTAGACGAATGTCCAGTCTCAACTACATCATACGAGTATGAGTATGCACTATCTCTCGCAGCTAACTCTGTAATACATTGTTAGTTATCTGGAGTATCATTAGGTACGATAGCACAAATGATACAGAGTGTGAAATATCTCATATGGGGATATTTACACGGGGGAGCTTATTCGAAGTATTCGGATATGCAGGAAGAGTTCTGATGGATTCTCATCCATGGAATCATGTTGGGTAAGATATTTTATCCTTGGGATCTATTTATCCTGGTATCTAATTGTTCAGATATAATTGGATTTGGAAGCTTTCAATGTTGAGAATGAGTGGATCGTCTTAATGGATTTATTATTCCAAGTCGACACCGATTTCTTCAATCATCCATCCATCCTCTCCCTAAAGTAAAATCTCCATCTCACAATCTCATAATCTCACAATCGGTCCCCTCTCTACCTCCCCAATGAAACTCTCCTCTCCTCCTACACAAATACAATAAAAAATGTTGGATAAATCACGTGCCTACGGCACGCAAGCTAGCGGGCTTATATAGTTGATCTGTAGCATAGGTTTTTAGAGCTTCGAGCCAAATACACTGCATACTATAGTACATTTGTTCTCCATCGCCCATGGTGATTCCAACAAAAACATATCTCAACTCTACCCTCCATAAACCCTGTCACCTCATCTGTTAAAAACTCTTCCCTTCCAACACCCCTCTCCAAACCACATCTACCGTCTACCACCAGTCTTCATCTTCACCCCCTCTTCCTACCACCTCATTCCTTCTCATCCCGTAACCCCCAGTTTAATCTTCCACGCTATGTTTCGGGTTCCTCTATATCGATTCGATTTGAAAGTCTCAGTTTGTGTCTAGATCCAGGATCGTGTCTATACCTAATATCTTAATGAATATCTTGATGCCCATACAGAAAAAACACATCAAGGGTCGGATTCTTGATGTAGGGTGCAGAGAGACTATTATGCTAGGTTTACGATCCTGCGGCTATGTAGGTTATATGATCGCACCTGCTATGTTAGTCTCTGGCAACGTTCCTCGAGATAATTAAAGTATTTTTATCTTGCGTTCTCGCTAGCTTTTTGCGGGTTGTATGTAATGTGTCATGTGCATGCATTAGTGTTATTTACAAAATGGTTGGATTGGGACGATATGAATGACGTATGCAATTGATGGAGAATGAGGTTGTGTTTATTTATTTATTTATTTATTTAACTTTTTTTTTTCTTGTATTAATAAAATAAAATAAAATAGTCATTTTATCCCATCCCACAACCTTCATTTTCATTCATTATATAAATGAAGATTCTCATTTACTTATAAAGAAATCGATAGTAAGTAACTGCTTCATGAATCATTTGCATTTGCGCTTTTGTATCCCTATCCCGGGTATACACATACACACACACACACACAAATATACATATATGTTTAGATCAACAGAGTAAGTATATTCATCATAAAGGTATAGAATAGAAATACTCGCGGATAAGAAATTCAAGTTGGAAAATATTTAATGAGTGGAGAAAATGGAAATTTATAGTTTTTTTTTGAAGGGGGAGGAAGAATGTTGGTGTTGGTGATTGTGATTGTGATGGAAACTTGGTTTAGAATAGAGGGGGGGAATCACATCTTTTGAAAGATGGTGTGGTGCTTTTTTGGGAGGCAGGAATGGCGTTATGGATGGAACACCTGTTGGTTTCTTTTCTCATCGCTTGTTATGGAATATTTTACTAGGAGACTAGGTAGGTAGGTAGATTGGATGATGAAGAAGAAGAAGAGCGAATGGATGAATATATACTGTGGTTCCTAATTTATTTGAAGGACATTTGGAGGAGGATGTAGTATAGTAGTAATCAGGTTGATATTCGACGGGGTGTGAATTTTCAAATCCGTTGAATTTTTCACTGATGTTATCGAAATACTGAAGTTGCAAGAAAAAAGAAAGCAACCGACACAAAAATTCTCTGCAAAGTCACCATTATTTCACATCACCACCCAAAGCTCAGCTAATCCATTCACCCATAGGTCTAAAATGTTTTCGCCGTCGCCTCACAGACCATTCCAGCAATTCGACTGGCCACTCGATATATCGCCAAGCACCCCTCGTATGCCATCCCATCGGTTCCTTTCCCGTCCCAACGACAAACCATGCTTCATCTATACTCGAAGCTTTGTAAAGATTGGCGCGTCGCGGATGCTTCCACAATAATTCCAGTGCTCTCGTTCTCATCTTTGCATCGGGGCATTTCTGGGTTACGAGAAATAGACCCGTCACTAGTCCGTCATCTACTCTTTGAGAAGCTTGAGGATGATCATGGTTCTCGTTCTTTGGCTCTAAGATCTCGACTCCAAAGTCGAGTATTGTCGCAGAGAGAACGGTAATCTCATGCCTATCAATTGTGATTTGCGGAAGGCCAAGACGCATGCAGAGTTGTTTAATTATCAGTGCTGTTGCGCTTTGATAAGATACTGAGGATGGAGGCTGCGAACGACTTGCGTTTAAAATAGGAGTAAATGCTCTGGTCCATCTTTCGTCAGCTGTTCTATAGGCTAAGACGTCTTGGGGATATATCGTGGGCGTTGGCTGGGGGCTAAGTTGATGGACTCCGATAAAATGATCTTTGAGTTCTTCTGGGGATTGGTAATTGCAGTCTGCGTACCAATTCAAGACACGCCGATTGAGAATATCCCAGTAGAGGCGTGCTTGCTTGAGAGAGCTGAATTCGAAGGGCATATTGTCGAGGAACTTGGTATCCTCGCGATCCTGAAGTGACCCGTGGGGCGCGAAAGGAGCTTGAAATGGCATGAATAATAGAAGTGTTTGTTCCCAACGGATAAAGACAGCAAGGAGATCAATGTCGATCCCAAGTGACCATTTCGAATGTGGAGTTTCGAGCATATGTTTTTCCCGAGCACTAGATATTATCCTGAGGCCTGATGCAATGGTTTTGAGAGAGACCTCCTGATGACCCTGATAAAATTCGAAGATACTGGTCAAAACACATGAGACAAGTAGACTTCGCAATTGGTCTTCCTCTACAGTTTTCCCTGTACCCTGTCTCGCCAGATGAAGAGATTTCGAGTATTCCCCCAAAGCAAACAAATAGTGCTCACTCGGAGCTATATGTCGAGCATCGATGGATGATGGGACATTGAAATCTACTTCCATATCCTTGGCGAGAGCACCCAGAGCTACGACAGCATGTTTAACAAATTCCTCTTGGTGGCATAATTGAAGTATAAGGCGCTCCCAGAAATCCGTATCAAAGTAACCAGAAAGAAGTGATGCATTGTCATTTTTGAAAAAGTCAAAATATCGATACTGGGCCTCATCTTCAAATAATGATGTTTGTGGTGATTTCAATGTTAGAGATGACCCGACTAAATGATGTTTGGTTACAAATTCATTAACCTCACTAGAAGATAGACTCACAAGTTATGCTTGGCCTAGCTGAAACTTTTCCTTTGGGCGCGATCGTCAAATGAGATACTCCGTTCCTGGGTCTGACAACCAATTCGTAGATACACTCAAATCCTTCTTTCACACATCTCCGACATTTAGGTTTTGACTCATCGCATTTAATGTGTCGGGATCTATCCGAATCACGATATCAATAACTTTACGATATCGTACAGTTAAGTCGAGTATGAAACGGGACTTACTTGCCTAAAATAAACTGTCAGCGAGGTATAACATAATTATTAGTTGGGTTTTACAGACATGATTTGCAGCCTGTTTTTGATCTAGGTAGAGTAGCTTTCCGAACTCTTGGTC